GCTTTTTGGTACTGCAGTGGAACTGATAGAACAAAAATTCCTTCTTTTCTATTTAATTAAATTAGCATTTTCAACTTGGAAACCTTACTCGTTGTTATTTATTATTGTTTGATCGCCAAAGTCCATTTCATCTCTCGTGGGTGTTACGGATAGTTTCAACTTCTCTGAAGACTTTCCTACTATAGAATCAAGGAACCTGCAAATTTATTATAAACTATCTGATTACAAATTTCTCAAGCCTTATGAATCATCGCAATAAAACTTAGATTACCTTACCTGCTGATAAATGGAAGGCACACATATTGAACAAGTGAGCAATATCCGAATGAGTGCGGTTTGTCGGTTGACATCGATGAATGCTGAGAAAAGGCAATAAGGAAGCTGGTAAACGGAATGGCCTGTTGCCGAATGCAACAGGATCTCCTCTGGAGAACGAGTATGTTAAGCTAATCATGCTAACATGCTTGTTTCATAGAACATCTCTTATGCAGTCATTTGAGATGTAGAATATTGGAAAAAGACCAAGGTATTAGCAACAAGTACGAAAATTCGCGAGTACTACATGCAATCTAGAAAATGGTGCTTTTCATAGATTAACTTTGTCTCATTGCAACACTGTATGACCCATTGTAGAGCGCAAATGAACTCAGTACATAAGAAGAAGTTTGAGATCTTTAAGGTCTTTGAAAATAATGACTATACAAACCAAATAATGGAAAGAAAATGTGCTCGTGAGATGCAGGATTTTGGTTGAGATGTGCGATCTAAGAATGGAGAAACGCCTGGAAGATTCCTTTTTTATTGCATTGCGTTAGAGATTTGTGATAAACTTGAGAAATAACTCTAATCTCCCACTAAGTTTACCAAACTTTCCGGCTTTTACAAGAGCTCAACCCCTGCAGATATGATGTTTGATTACGTGTTCATCAGGTTCGAAACGTTCAGCTGCTTTCAAAGGAAAAACTTGATGGTTTTTAATGTTTTAAGAGTTGGCTTTTCTAGTCGAACCGAGTTGAGGACTCAAACAATTCACTGCATTGATTCACTCAAACCTCAAGGTTAAAGGTTTTGGAAGAACGTTCCACTGAGGCTTCCTGTAAGGTGATAAAGAAACTGCAACTTTGGTATCTTTTAGTTTTAAGAATTGACTTCAACATCGGAAAACACCCTTTTCGTATTGTTGAATACTTCTTGTGATCTGCGAAAGAAGCAGTAGTTGATGTGGAAATTTGTAAAGTAATAATTTACAGTTTCATTTTATTTGATATCCAAGGACAATTACGGGAAAAATGGGAACTGATGGGTCTGCAAAGAAACTCCAAAATCGCGAAAAAATGCATTTCTTAAAATTATGGAGACGGTATTTCTAAGACTTTTTGATATGATAAGTTTTCAGGGAAAGTTTGAATTTTCTGATATATTGTTTCATAAAAAAATGTTTGGAAAAAAAAACAAAATTTATGCGAAATGCGATTACTAAGCAGAGTATAACAAAAATAATAATCTACAAGCGAATAGACTAGATAGCGTTCGTTCATATAGCATAGAGAAGCTCAAAAGCGGTAGGAATGAGAAATAGTGATTGCATTATCGAGATGGCGCAATGTTAGATTCAGGTTGTACC